CTACTGCTTTTACATTATTGTTGGAAGACTGTATTTAATTCCTCTATCTACTGCTTTTAAATTAATGCTGGAAAACTATTTATGTTCTACATCTATTGCTTTTACATTGTTGCTGGATAATTGTATGATTTGGTATGTCTTTTCCATTTTGCTTCATTTTTGTTACAATAACTGCTTCTGTTTATTCTTAAATAGGATAGTAGCTATGGATATAAGGACAATATTAACCATTTATGATGAAGATGATGAGGAGGAAATTCTTGTATTGATCGCAGCCGTATATGAGTACTATTATAAACATTTTGATAAACAACGTTATAGGGATTCCATGTTACAAGGGGAAGATTACATATTCGAGGTCTTAAATGGACATGAAGATAGGTGTTATGAAAATTTTCGGATGTACCCCAACACCTTTAGGGCATTGTGTCGTGAGTTGAAATTGTTAGGATTGAAAGATTCAACATTTCTAACGGTAGAAGAACAAGTTGCAATTTTCCTACTTACCGTGTCTCACAATGAAAGGAATCGTGTCGTTGCTGAAAGATTCCAACACTCTACATCCACAATTTCATATCACTTTCATACTGTATTAAAGTTAATTTGTGAGTTAGGGACTAAGATTATTGTTCCCCCGGATTTGAATGAAATTCCTAAAGAGATAAAGAACAATCCAAAGTTTTACCCATACTTTAATAATTGTGTAGGAGCCATAGATGGTACTCATATCCATGTTGTAGTGCCAGTTGACTAACAAATACCCTTTCGTGGTAGAAATGGTGATACGACTCAAAATGTCATGGCCGTGTGTTCATTTGATATGAAATTCACATACATTCTAGCAGGGTGGGAAGGGTCTGCTAATGATTCGAAGATTTTAAATGAGTGCATTCAGAATGAGGATTTCAATTTTCCATCACCACCCGAAGGTAAAAATATTAAGTTTTCATATTTGTGCATTTAACATTACAAATACGTTAACTTTAATACTTAACATACTTAACATGACAGGTAAGTTTTATTTAGTCGACTCTTGGTACGCCAATCAACCGGGGTTTTTGGCCCCTTACCGAGGTCAACGTTACCATATGCAGGAATATCGTAGACATACTAGAGGACCACATGGTAGAGAAGAGGTGTACAATTTTAGGCACTCGTCATTGAGGAATATCATAGAGCGATGTTTTGGGTTGGTAAAGATGAGATTCGCTATATTGAAGCAAATGCCCCCTTATCACTTTGACACTCAAGTTCTTATTGTCATTGCCTGTTGTACATTGCATAATTTCATAAGATCCCAAGGTGAATCTGATGAAATTTTTGATTCTGAAACCCCTCAATCTTCACAAAATGAACTTGATGTGGATGACGATGTTCAGGTGGTCAGTGCTACTAATACACAGATACGACAGATGGATATTTATCGTGATGGTATTGCCAACCTAATTTGGGAGCACTGTAATCACTAATTATAAAACTGTCTAATAGTGTGTAGAATTGAAATATGGATGACTGTAATAACTATTTATATTACGTAAATTAAACTCAGATGCTCCTTATTTATGGATAACTGTAATAACTAATTATATTAGGATATCAAATATTAAATGCTTTAGTACTTGTAGGCGCACTTATGTATAGGCTTGAAGGTGAGCGACCACAATGTGCATGTGGTAGAGGTCCTATGCATCTGTATAGGGCTCGAACTCCAAAAAATGATGGTCGACAATTCTATAGGTGTCCGGCTCGGGAGGTATGGTCAATTACTTTTAGGTGCTATTTCTGTTACTGTTTCCTAATTGTATAATTTATATTTCTTGTAGTCACATATGAATGCATTTATGTGGGTGGATGAGTTGCACCAAGGTGCACAAGTTGAAGAACAGGTTCAATCTGACTTGGACAGAGTCATTGCAATGATTCAAAATGAACAATGTAGACAGAAGTACATGCTCTTCCTAGGTTGTGGATGTCTTGCTATCACAATCATATTTAGTGTGATTGTCCTCTTGTTGCTCATTATCGTTGTTATTGAAAGATGAAGTTAGATAAACTTCCATCTTTTGTAATATATGACATGTAATATGTATTTAGTTAATTTCCTGTGTTTCATTTGGTATGTAATATATACTTAAATGGTATATTTTGAACTACGTATTAGTTGCTGTTGTGTTATCTTCTCTGTCATTTTGGGAGTGAGCTTTAGGGTATTTGTAAAATTTGCTACTGAGGTCATTTACACTCTATTTGCGACATTAGAGAAAAAAAAAGGTTAGATATATCTTGTTTACTACTTCTAATTATTTCATTCCTACCGTGTGTTATTTTGTTTTTCTCTAATGTTGTTCATGTCTTTTGTTTTGCATGAGGTCATTTACACTTTAAATTTACAACTAAGCTTGAAAAAATGTTAGATATATCTTATTTATTACTTCTAATTATTTCATTCCTACCGGGTGTTATTTTGTTTTTTTCTAATGTAGTTCATGTCTTTTGTTTTGCATGAGGTCATTTACACTTTAAATTTACAACTAAGCCTGAAAAAATGTTAGATATATCTTATTTACTACTTCTAATTATTTCATTCCTACCGTGTGTTATTTTGTTTTTCTCTAATGTTATTCATGTGTTTGGTTTTGCATGAGGTCATTTACACTTTAAATTTACAACTAAGCCTGAAAAAAGGTTAGATATATTTGTTTACTACTTCTGATTATTTCATTCCTACCGTGTGTTATTTTGTTTTTATCTAATGTTGTTCATGTGTTTTGTTTTGCATGAGGTTATTTACACTCCCAATTTGCAGCTTAGCCTGAAAAAAGGTTAGATATATCTTATTTACTACTTCTAATTATTTCATTCCTACCGTGTGTTATTTTGTTTTTTTCTAATGTTCTTCATGTGTTTTGTTTTGCATGAGGTCATTTACACTCCAAATTTGTAGCTTAGCCTGAAAGAAGGTTAGATATATCTTGCTTTAATTAAATTTGTGGACGGTGTCCCTTGTTAGTTGAATTTTGTGGGCGGTGTCCCTTATTGAAATAATTTTGTGGGCGGTGTCCCTTGTTAAATGAATTTTGTGGGCGATGTCCCTTATTGAATTAATTTTGTGGGCGGTATCCCTTGGGTTTATTGTGTTTTGAAATTTTGGAAATGTCCATTTTTAAGGGGAAGTCATGCCGGATTTTTTTTTAAAAAAATAATAAAAATTTAATTTAACTCTGCTTTATATTTTGCTACTATAGGTAATGTCTTGTTTTACATTCAAATTCATTTTTTGCTACTACATTGAAGGACATGGCAGTAAGTTGTAGGCAGTGGCACCAGCGAGATTGATAGGAAGCATTCTCTAGTTGCTGCAACTCCAGAAAGCTAGTGATCTCTAAGTTAATCAAATGGAGGCCTATGCAAGTATAAAAAAATGGTGTACATTTTATGGAATGAATATTAGTGATCTCCAATTATGTGTACATTTTTTGTAAGTGTAATGAAGTGTGTGTGTACTTTCAAATATTTTAAAGGAATGTCTAACTTCTTATATGTGGAAGTATATATGTGAATGGTGCAACACTCGAGTTCTTAAGATTGTGATGTATAAAGCAAAACTATACGTGGAAGTATATATGTGAACGTCGTTCAATCTTGTAAGAGGGATCTTCCTTGATTGCTTACTTTTAATCTTTATTCATATTTATCAATTCTGCTTATGGTTGGATATTGTATGAAATATTCACAAGTCCGTTATCAAAATAAATACTCAACAAAAGGGGAAATGGTCTTATGACTAAACAAAAAAAAATATTACCAATTTGAAGGACCTCCACTACAAAATTTCAAACTAATCTAAGTGAAGTAAAACTATTTACAAGCTTCAATGTTCACCAAATTTCAACTCTGACCAATTCAAGACGATTAACGTTTTGGCTTTGTTTCTTGTTAGTTTTAACTACAAGGATCTCTCTCTCTCTCACATTCATCATGAATATATATATATATATATATATATGAAACAAAACAAAGTTAAATGGAATGCAAGCCAAAAGAAAAAGATAAATGGAGTGCAAAGATCTACTCTCATTGAAAGATTATTACAAAGTTAGATTTGTAATTTGGTTGCCATTAATCATGTTTATGCAGATTTATTCATTATTACAAAGTAGTTTGGTTGCCATTATACATGCAAATTTAACAAAAAAAAAAATTTCCCAACTCTAATGCAGATTTTTTTTTTTCCATAAATTATCTCAAATCATAAAGAAAAATGGACTATTTTACATATAAACTTATAATTGTATTCATATATATAATTTTTCAAAACAAAACAAAACAGTCTTTACCAAACAGGTATTCTGTTATTGATTCAGAATTTTTAATAACAAAACACTATTCTCAAACGTGTTTTGTTTTTGGATTTCTTAAAACGCATGACAATACCAAACGCGTTATCATGTTTCTGATATACAATTATTAAAAATAAAACAATCGTTACCAAACATGGATCCGATTTCTACTAAAAACATACCAATACCAAAACAGTTGTTTTCATATCATACCAAACCATAACATATAACGTTATCGCCATCCAAACGGACCCTAAGTCATGTAAAATAATTAAAAATTATGTAATGGTGAAAAAAAATATTATTAACTTCATTCAAAATTAAATGCCCAAAGTCTCCTCTATTATCAAACAGTATTATTTAAATAAACATTATTAACTTAATAAGATAAGATGCCACTTTTTTTTTTAAAATAATTATATAGATACATTTGTTAGCTTTTATAGTAGAATCGAAATACAGAAGCTCGTAAAATAATTATAAGAAACAACAGGTGATAAATATTACTCTAGCATATAAATATATACACGTTTCATGAAGCAATAAAGAATAGTTCAGCTTTGACAACCTTAATTTCAAGATCTCAAGCGGTGAAAGGCAGACCGTAGACGCAACCAAGGGTTATATATTTACGAGCCCCACGGGAGATAAAAGCTAACCCATTCTTCTTTGCCCTTTTCTCAAGCACGAGGAAGGCACGGCCATCTTTTCTCTCTACCTCGCCACCGACCAGGGTATACCCCGTGTTCGATTGCAATTATTTTTTCTTTTTCACTTTCTCTCTCTATATCATTATATATATATATATATATATATTACGTGCTTTATAATTTTATTTCATTAAAAAAAATATATATTTCCCTTATAAATTTGATTCATTAACGTCGAATCTTCTTCCCCATCTCCAACTCCGATTCTCGTACCCGGTCATCGTCATGGATGATTAATACTCCCAATTTCTTGCGATCCCTTTTTCATCTCTCTTCGAATCACTTTTTCTCTCTACAACAGCGGAGCGCTCTCTCTCTGTCCCTCTCTCTAGGGTTTTGAAGTCGAACTTCTACTCGTCAGGAGGGAGTTCAAGAATCGGCTTTCAATTCCAAGGCTTTCGACGCGTTCGTACCGTGAATCGACAATATTTTCTTTCCGGTGGTTTCAGACGGTACCCTAGCTTCTATCTGCTACTTCGCTTGGATATACTGTGTTGAAGCGGAAAACTTGTTGTCGATTGCGTCTATCTCTTGAGGTTCGACTGTTCTTGATTGCATATTCTTCTTTTGTATCTTTTTTCTCAAAAATTATTCATTTGTAGTTGTTTGATTATAAGAAGCGGCATTCTTATTCGCAATTGCACCACTAGGGTTTAATTTTCCTCGTTAGGTTCCCTGGAAAAATGTAGGACAAGAAATGAATTGGAATGACAAATCTAGGTTTATTCACTGATAGCTAGTTAGCTCGAGTTCTCCATTTGAAATTATTTATTTATTTTTTGGTTCATTGCTTCAGTTTTCTTTACCTTTAAATCGGGGTTACTGTTATAGATGTTTTCCTTGTATATGATTTCATATTAGTGTTCTTAAGCAGGTTTCTCAGGGTTAGCGTTTGACATTATTCATGAATTTGACTTTTGAGTGACTTAGATTACTTAGAAACTTCTCATTTTTCATCACGATTGATAAAGTTCATATTTGCTGGCATTTTCAATACTGCCACAGCCCAGTTAAGCGTCAGAAAATGTTGTTTGGTGATTGTTGAGTGATTACCAGCATGGATTTAAATGTCTCGCCACAACCAGAAGAAGATGAAGAGACCTTTGAACCACATTTAGAAGAAGACAATGCCCCGGGACATATAGGAAATGTAGAACATACAGAAACTGCAGTTGAAATTCAACGCCGGGTAATTCATTTTCTCTAGTTTTTACTACATGCTTTGTGAATTTTGTTTCAAATAACGCACTTGTCCTATTGGCACCTACTTGTGAATTTTACATGGAAATCCTTTTTATTTCTTTGAATCATTATTGATCTGTGTCTGGCAATTTAGAGAAGAATTGTGGATATCACACTAGAATAAGCTCATTCATGAGAGTCCACATAACATGTGAAAAAGTTTATTCCTACTCTCTCTCTCTCTCTATAGTATAGTACAATATGAATTTTGTTTTTTTTCATACATAGCACCTGGAACACATTTATGTTATTTCTTGGAGAGTCGTTTTCAGAATTCCGTAGAAGTTATGATACTGATTATTCATTTATTTATTATTTTAAAATTGATCGACTCCAATTTTGTTTCTTGATGTATTTGAAACTGACCATGGATTTGTCGCAATAAAAAGAAGTTTATGCTTTCAAATTCTACGGAAAACAAATGGATTAAAAAGTTCTCATTATGCTTCCTATACGGCTGAAGCTTTTGCATAGATTCTGTAATTTTTGTTTCTAAGTTACTCGACATGCCTGCTGCACTGTAATAGTAATTCTTCACTTGAATCATCTCTTACTTGATACAGTTTTGACTTTTAGTTTTCATGTCCTTTGGAAATATTTTATAATAGCTAATGGCCCAAGTTGGCAACATGAATACTGCTTGCCGTAGTTTACTGGGATTGAGCCATTATTAGCTGCATGCCACACCATCAAATTCTCGGACTCATCAAATTGGAAGGTCATAATGTTAGGGGAGCGTCTTGAATCTTCTCTCCATGAGGTCTAATCCATGAATTATGAATTTATTATCAATTCAACAATTCCTGGTTCGGTATTGGATATGTCACCCTAAAGAGAGGAACTAGGTTTCCTAGTTTTTGCCTTAATTGCTGACTTCTAATAAATCATTGTACTTGTCTAAACATGCATTGTATGGTTTGGTAACCTCTCATTTACAGAAGTTCACACTCCAACACATGCTGATGTTGGGCTTTTGCATCTATGTTGCCTTTTTATTCTTGTGCACTTTTTACTAATGAAATATTCTTCTGGCAAGAGTAAGATGGTGGCTTTCCATTTCTGTTCTAGTTCTGCCATTCTGGACAAGCACAAACGTGCTTAACATTTTGTTACATGATTTTTTCACAAATATGAAAAATGGTTGATTTTTTTTGGAACTAAATTTATTTGTGTGTTTGTGTGCCACATAATTTGTAATTTTTGTGGTTTTGCATTAGGAGCGTGAAGAAAGACGTCAGCGACTGAAAAGAGAACGCTCAGATGACAGACCAATGCATGCATATCAGCCACCTAAGCACGATCAAATATTTCAAGCAAAAAGCCAGAGAGTTTACGATAAAACTAAGCTTCCTCCTGGTAAGTTTGTGACTGATTTATATGATGAATTTTTTAATTAATATTAGAGACTTTTTTTCCCCCTAGGTATGTTCTTTGACATTGTTTTGACGGAAAAGGAAATTAAATCACTGCAATTTCTGTCTGAATTGTTTTTTTTCGATATTAAAAAAAGTCAACAAATATTTTGATGATTATTTGCTAAGAACAGCTCCTCATATATATAGAGGACAGATATTCGAAAGATGAAAAAATTATTTTCAGCTATTACTAAATGGGGAATATATTCGAGAAGAACTTATAAGTAATGAACCTATGCAAGGAATGATAAACTAAATTACTATTAAGGAAGTAGAGGAATCACTTAAAAATACGGGTAAAAGTAAAGCAGTAGGACCTCATAACTTATCTATAGAGGCTTGTAGAATAGGATGTATAGGAATTCACTGGCTAAGAAATTTACTTGACAAATTGTTGTAGTAGAAATAATGCCAAATGAGTGGAGGAGGAGTACCGAGCACCACGGTACCAATTTATAAATATAAAATAGATATACAAAATTGTGGAAATTATAGAGGAATTAAATTTAATTAGACATGCAATGAAATTAGGGAAAGGATAATCAAACAAAGATTAAGGAAAGTTTCCCAATATAAGATAAAGTGATAAACAATTTGGATTTATGCGAAGTAGATCCATTATGGAGGCTATCCATTTATAGCAAGGCAATTAATGTAGAAGAGTGTAGAAGTAAGCAAATGGATTTCAAATGGTTTCATAAACCTCATACGCTTTATATGATAAAAGGCCAAGGGATGTGATTTGTGAGCTCTACAAAGAAAACAAGTTTCTATAAAGCGTATAAATTTTATTCAGGATATGTACAGTGAACATATTTCACACTATATGTGGCAAGACTAATGGTTTTATTTATAATTTAGGATTGCACCAAGGAATTAAGTCCATTTTATTTACAATAGTTTTAGATAAAAAAATGTAGGATATCAAAGATGACGTTCCATAGTATATGTTGTTTGCAAATGACATAATTCTATTGAATACTTCTAAGGAAGCCTTAGAAATAAAATTAGAAACACGAAGAAATGCCTTGGAATTGAAATCGCCTAAATATTAGTGGGACTAAAACAAATTACATGACATGTAAGTTTAATAAATAGAGAACGGCAATATAACTATCAGAATTAAAGAGCCATGGGCCTTAAAGAGTAGCCATTTTCGATATTTAGGGTTCATAAAACAAGAAGATGGAGAAAGAGATGACAATGTAATAAGTAGGATTGGTGCATGGTGGAGAAAATGGAGACAAGGTTGTGGAGTTTAACGTGACAAATGAGTTGCAAATAATTTGAAAGGAAAATCTTATTGGACGGTTGTTAGGTCAATGATATTATCTGGAGTGGAAATATTGCATTTTAAAAACGAAACAAAAACAACGCATTCTTGTAGCTCAAATTTGATTGCTAAGGTGGATGATATGAGTGACTATGAAAGGTAGGATTAATACATAACATCTGTGAGAAAAATTAGGAAAGGCGCCTGTTAGTAATATAATGAGAGAAAGTAGAGGTACGTGGTATGCTCATATACAACGGTGACCGATGGATGCACTAAGAAATAGTAGATTTATTTGCATAGAAGGTAAAACAGCTGGCCAAAACTCAAGTGGGATGAAGTTACTGATTCAGAAAAATGAAATGTAATAGTAAACATTATTTATAATGAAAAAGAACAAAAAAATGAAAATTTGTGTGGCTGGCCCCTATTCATTTGGGATAGGGCAAAGATGATGATGAGAGAGAAATTATTTCCTGTTTTAGTAGCATAATTGTTAAGAGACTCGATAACTATGGGTTTGTAAGAGCTATTTTTGTGGTGTGTAACTTATATTTTATGATCTATTTGCGTGAAATTCTTTATGAAGTTAAGATTATAAGATTCTTAAGACCAGCTACTTTCATGTCCCCCTTGCGGAGTTTTTAGTTTAGAGTTTCCTGTTCCCTGTTCCCATTTGTGTAAATATGATGAGCATTCTATTTTGAGGTTGACGGTGCATAGAAATGCAGATTTAAGCACTCTTATTTGTGTGTTGTATATTTTTTTTACAAGCATCAATATGTATATACACACTATTTTTTTTTTAAAATTTATAGCATACGTTTGAATATATATGCACTCTCACTTATTCACTCACACCCACCATCCCCAACACGAATGGTGCATTTGCATTATTCAAATATGATACAGGTTAGGTGAGCTTCACTAAGGAAATTGGAAATTTTTGGCATATTTGGATTCATGATGAATTGATTTTAGCACCAGTTGATTTGAAAACTTTTTTGCACTGTCCAAGAGTCTTTGATTTTTATAAGAATTGATATTGGAGTCTTTATTTACGACTTCTATTGAAATTATGTCGGTTTCAAATATTTTATTTGGTACAAAAATTAGGGGGGTTTGTGAACATTGGAATTTAATACCTGATTTTATTGGAAATCATGGATGGTGATTGAATCTTGAATTCTGTGGGATTTGTTGAATTTCAAAACCAGATTTGAAAATCAAGTTTCCTTGAAGAGAGGGAAGAAAACTTCTTTAGACAACATCTGTATGTTTATTTTACCCCCCATTTATGATGTGGCCTTACCGAACTGATCTTGTTGTAAAATGCCTTTGTTTTGTAAGCATATGTGTTTGGCTTGTCCCTTTCTTACCATTTTATAGTTAATTGGTCTGAGATAGTGAAATTTCAAATCTTTTCCCTTCCATGTTTTCATGTATTTGAACGTTTCAGTGTTCACATTGCAGGTTGGTTGGATTGCCCTGCAGCTGGTCAGGAAGTAAATTATATTATCCCTTCTAAAGTTCCACTTGGTGAATTTTTCAATGATTATGTTTATCCTGGTAAAAGATACTCTTTTAGGCAAGTGATTCATCAACAGAGAGTTTTAGGAAGAAAAGTAAGTACTCCGAGTTTAGACATTTTCCCTTTTTATTTGTATTTTTACTGTGTCTTGTTCTTCTTCGAATGTAAAATGTATGTTTCTTATCTTATTATTTGAATGGAAAAGTAGTCTTTTACCATTTTAGCATCTTGAAAAAAACCAAGAAATGTTCCTTTTTTTTTAATAAAATGTTTCAACTTTCTATCATTTTTTGGTATATAGCATCTTGAGAACCACGAGATCCTTTCTTTTATTTCAAATGTCTTTATTGTTTCATCAAAAGAGACAAACAATGCATGCAGGTTTGAGCAGCAATTGCATTCATTGGGGGTATAAAATTCTTGCTGAGGTGACAAATTTTTTCCTGCTATTGTAATATAAAAGTAGTTTAGGAAGTAGATGCTTTACATACGCCACAGTAGTAGCCCATAGAGAACCCGTTATTGTGCACTTGTGCTAATTCACAATATAAATGAAAGCACTTTAAGCCTACATCTCATTTTGAGGCACCGGTGTGGTGGTGGTCCTATATTGGAGCACTGGAAACACAGTGGGCCATCCAAAGGAGGGAAAGCGTGAACTTCGGAAAACTTCAGAATACTACTCTATGAATGAGAATGGTCCATGTTCTCTGATCCTTGGCATCGTGTGTCAGTCACATTACACTCGGATGTTTTTCCGAGTGAAGCTGACTTTGTCTCTTCTTCATTTTGCTGAATTCCATGAAACAATTGAGCTCTCTCCATATGTTACTTATTGGGGGAACAAAAATTAAAGGAAAAATTGGGTTCTCTCTTTTCGCAATTTAATGGAGTGTTAACATTTCTTTTCCCATCTTCTTCTCCTCCAGCTTTTTAGGCAGCTTGTTATCATTCTGCCACGTCTAGGATTTAGTAACAGCGATTAAGATGTTTGGATGTTGGAATCAAGTTAAAAATAAATTTTATTTTGAAATTTTTTTAGTTTCATTTTTTCTCTTTTTAACTTTTAATCGGGGTTCTAAAATGGGAAAGTGTGATACATCTAGCTTGTTGGGTTGTATATGTTCCTTGTAATTTTGCAATAAAATGTGGAGTTCCTCTATTGTTTGCCTTTGTACATCTTGTGTGTGCTTGGGTTTCTCCTTGTAATTGATTTTCGTGCACTTTCTTTTTAGAAATAATCTGTACCTCACATGGAAATCTCTCTACAATTTGCGATAAGAATATAATAAATTTATAAACTTAGTAAAATAAACTCCTTGTTGAACTAAAACTACTATCTAGATGTATATATGGATAGTTAAATAGACTCCCGGTGGAACTAAAACTTACGGATGGCAATTTCCTCAATCCGGTGGGTTTCCGCCCCACCCCGCCCCTAATGGGGCGAATTTGGTAGCCCCCTAAATAGATTTGGGGTGGATATGGTAAAATAATTGAAAACCCGAAGCGGGTTTGGGGCTGGGGCGGATTTAGTGATGAACCCGCCCCGACCCGATTATATTTGTACCATTTAAAAAATTATATTATATATATATATATAATAAATGTCAGTTAATATATTACTAGTAATATTCTGTACTTAGTAAGGAATCAATCAAGGATTAAGCCTTTCAAGGTCCCAAGCCCTACTGGCTGAGGAATCAACTTTACTTTCTCTTCACTCTTCAGTTCACAAATGAAAAAACCCTCACAAATGACAAAACCATAGCCAACACATTGGGCTAGTTCTTTTTTTATTTTTTATTACTATATGGCATAATCCGCCCCGCACCGCAATTAACCAGAGTATGTGGGGGTGGAGTCGGTACCTTGTCTGCCGGAGTAGGGGCGGGGATGGTATATTGATTACAAACCCATCCCGGAGTAGGGGTGGAGTAGGGTTTAGCCAACTCTACCCCGTTGCCATCCTTACTAAAACTACTATCTAGACGCATACATGGATTTTAAAGCTCTATTCTCATGATTCATTGCTAATGTGACACTCGCATTTCATATCGTCATTGAGTCGTAAAAACCTTTGAATTAATTAATGACATAATTTTTTGATGATAATTTTTTTAATACATGTATTATCTATAAGATTAGCTTAGATTGCTCATTGAAAAATTTAAGATATGGATTTTTTTAATTGATGTTTCCAGCTTGGGTTAGTGATTGATCTTACAAATACTAGTCGTTACTATCCAGCTTCAGATTGGAAGAAAGAAGGTATCAAGCATGTCAAGGTGGGTTATGGATTGCTCAATAAATTTTGGTTTCAAGTTAACCTTCTCTGATTGGTACTTATTAAACTTTTAGTTTTTTATTTTGTTATTCAGATTCAATGCAAGGGGCGTGATTCTGTACCAGATAATGAGGCTGTAAATTACTTTGTCTATGAGGTAAGTTCTTCTCAGACATGTTCAGGGTATCTATGAGCTTCTATAATATGTATGCCGACCTTTACCACCTTCTCTGTGAATGTTGCACCACTAATTGTATTTACTTAAGCTTGACAGATAGTGTTTGTTTCTCTTTACTAGTTTATCTTGCAATATTGTTTTTATTCAGGGAGAATTACATGTTGGTTTCTTTCTGAGAACTGCAAAAGTATAATTCCTGACCCTTTTAAAGCACCAAGTACCAGCTTCTACCTTATATCTGTAACAGCTAATAAGTTACATTGCAGCTAGAATTTAACTTTATTAGACAGTAGCTTATGAAGTTTCAAAGATGCTCGGATGCTACTGTCTGTACCTGATATCTATTTCTCATCTTTTTTATTTTCCTTTTATATTAGTTCTATGATTTTTTTTAATTGGTTTGTTAGTGATCCAAGGAAGGCCAGCATGCTTTTCCTTGGGAGATTCTTTAAGCCTAAAAAGTTATATATTCGGAGAAATTGCTTATGATAATTGATATATATATATATATATATATATATATATATGCTGTTTGTCAGGTTTCACAATTTCTCTTACGTCAGAAGCAGCACCCAAAGAAGTATATTCTTGTCCATTGTACACATGGGCATAACCGCACAGGGTATATGATTGTTCATTATCTTATGCGTACACAACCAATGTCTGTCACTCAGGTCGGTTATATGTTCATTTTATTTCAACTTCACTTCTTGTTTGATTCTAGCTAAAAGTCCACTTTGGAACTATTTGGCTTCTCATTGTGCAGGCTATTAGCAAATTTGCTAAAGCTCGCCCACCAGGAATCTACAAACCTGACTATATTGATGCCTTGTACAACTTTTATCACGAGAGAAAGCCTGAAATGGTCATTTGTCCTCCAACTCCGGAGTGGAAAAGATCTTCTGATCTTGATCTTAATGGTGATGCAGTGCCAGACGATGACGATGACGGAGGCCCTGCTGCTCCTTTGCAGGTAAGCAGTTGTTTTTTGTTTTGTTTTGTTTTTTTGTTTGTTTTTTCACAGTATTATTTGGTTTGTAGTTTCTGATAGTTTTTAAACACTCTTTAAATGACATCATGAAAATGAAGCCGAGTGAGAACTTTTGTTCTGTTTGCATTGCTGTGTTGTATAAGCAAGAAGTGAATCTGAATTTGAGAACAGCAAATACTATATTCCAGTCATTTTGGCTATCCAGTCGCTTGCTGCCACCAGCTTCACCCAGTGTTATCAAAGGCTCAAGGCACACTAAGGCGCTAGAGGTCCTCTTGAGCCTAGGCGCAAGGCAAGGCACGCGCCTGAGTGAAGTGAGGCGCATAATGGAAAAAAATAAATTACTATTAAAGTATTCATATTCCATATAAAAGGCGCAAATGTTGTCAAAGGCACACCTGGGCACACAACAGGCGCAAGTCTTGCGCCTGTATGAGCCTGGCGCCTAGGCGCGCCTTTGACAACACTGGCTTCACCCACAAAGCTAGCCATACTTTGGATGCACTGAGCAAAATGTCTAACCAAGTGAGCTTATTTCCCCTTCTCTGTTTCATTTTTAACACTATGGTTTGATAAGATCTCATGATTGTCTTTGTCGTGATGTCTGCCTGCATTTACCCCTCTCTTTCTTGTTCAAATCAGATATGGTGTCAAATATACTCGTCTGGATTGATGCATAGCATACCACTAAGTTCCTGTCCTTTGTTTTTTAAAGAAAGGGAGGGGGGGTGGGGGCAAGTTGAAGTGAAAACTTTTAATCTTCATTATGTTGCCCAACAGGTTGATAAGAAGCATGAAAGTACAATTTCAAGTTGGAAGTGAAAACTTAATTTGTTAGCTGGGCGTTGGTGTTTCTGCAATTGAGTTGATGAGTCTTATTCTTCTTCATTCTCTACAGTTGTTATGAGGCTTTCAAATGACAACTGCCTCTTCCTGCCTGCTTTAATAGGAGTAGGAGCACTATCCCCTCCTGGATCATGTGTCTGGACGCTAACTGTAGTTTGCTTTCATAGATCTTGCATCTGTTTGTAGTAACTTTCTGTCTATTTTTTAAGTTGTTTGTGGATCTGGTTATAAAATGAGGTGGCCAAGAAGTTGATATTGAGATTAATTAGTGACAATTGAGACTGGAAAATTTTTGGAATGGATACATCAATTGAGCTTAAGATGAAGGCTTTGGCTTAGATGGCAAAATTACATGCAACAAAGACCATTGGCTGTACAAATGAGGAGCGGTGTCAGGTTTAGGCTGAAGTTTTGTAAAGAACATTGGGCAGATAGTAGTGGACTTCTATCTTACCTGGAATTTGGCAAAAATTATGGCCTTTCAGAAATGGTGATTATTTTGCAGAAATTTATTTGGTGCAATCTAGAGCTTATTAGTTTTAGCATCAATGATGACCTGGGCAGTGTTGTTAAAGGCGCACCTAGGCTCGAGGCGTCTAGTGCCTGTTGTCATCCCAGACGCACTGATGCTTCCTGTTTTTCATGGCAACTTAATAAACAAATAAGAAATCCCAAGTGTACGAGAGAAGGCACTTTTGTTCAAAATAATAAACAAATAAGAAAGCCCAAGAGTCAAAGTGTCAACTGAGCAGAGAAAGAGTGAGAATGTGAGACTAACGACGAAGCCACATCAGTTCTCTCTTCTCCTCTCTTTCTCTCTCCTCTTCTCCTTCACTCCTCTCTTCTCATCTTTGTTTACATCTCTCTCTTCGTCTAGTTCTCTTATCTCTCCGTCTTTTTTTATTTTTTATTTTGTGCTCTGTTTTATTCTCCTTTTCTTCTTTAACACTTTCTCTGTCTTCTCGTTTACTTCTCTCTTCTTCTGTTTCTGCATCTTTTTTTTTTTTTTTTTTTTTTTTTGGCTCTGTTTTTTCTTTATTTTTTTCTTTCTTGTTAACAGTTTTTATTTATTTGTTAACAAATTCTGTTTTGTCTTTCAAGAAAACAAATTTGTGCTTTGTTTTATGGTTCTTGGATAAGCTGTATGGTTGTTGGATTTACTTTTTTATTTGATATTAATTTTTAGAATATTGATATGACTCATGAGATATGAATGTTTTTATGGTAGTTTAAATTTCCAATTGTGCGACTCACTTCACTCAGGCGCGCCTCGCCGTCCGCCTCGCGCCTAGTCTCCAAAGGACCTCTAGCTCCTTTGTGCGCCTTGAGCCTTTAATAACACTGGACCTGGGATATTAAAAGTTATGAACACACTGAAATGGAAAATCTCAATAATGAGGACAAGGATATGATTGGGGGTATGGAACATGAGTTGAACTAAACCTGCCTTTCTTATCTCTACTTGGGTTGGGCTGTATTGCCCCCTGTACTCGAGTTTTTAATGTAAAGCCATCGCCTTGACTAAATCCCAAGGCACAGACTGTTCTAATCTCGCAAGTGCAACCTTTACCTTTACCCTTTTTTCTTCTATTGAACTCATCCATCTCAACATCCCTCTTTGGGGCCACATTAGTACCTAACATTTATTTGAACTATAATTGTTCTTAGTTCTTAGTTGCCATAAAAAGGTGTAGCTATCTTATGGAACCTTCTTTTTACTTTTCTATATTATTCTGGTTGCACACACTAATAGCTAACTCACCATCTTTGGAGGGTGGATAATCACGTCCCAGCTATTACAAATCCTTTCTTTCCAAGTTATTCCTGTCACCATAGATGAATGGGGCAATCTCCCTGTATGTCTAAGACAGAGGAGTATAGTACCTACTAGATTGGTTGTAGTTTCATTATTTGTTAGTGCTTGAACAACTGATGGATATTGTCAACTTTAATCCACTCAATGATTAGTTCTTATAACTTTCATTTATCTATGGGAGTATCTGAAATGTTGTACTAATTTTAACGAAACATTATTTACAGGTACTTTAATTGAAATCATATTCTTTTCCTCGAGAAAATTTATATCTGCCTTTTTGATCTGTTCAGCATGTGCATGATTATCAACCTAGATGTTTCTGACATGGTGTGACTTCTTAAGAATAAATTGTATGTTCTGCATAGAAAAAATATGACTGATTCAGACAGTAGGGTAAAGCTTTGTTGAGTTTGTATTTATTTATTTATTTTTGCCATTTTCATTTTTATCTTCTATTTTTTGTTTTTATTTGGACGTCACAATTATTAAGAAAAAATTATATGTGTGTTGGTTACCATCTGTTATTTGATTCCCCCCCAATCTTGTCTTTTGTTTCTCTACTGTTCCAAATTTTTTTTTTCCCTTTGTTTTTTTTCAGCCTTGGTCCATGACTCATCATTTGACACGATTCATTTGGTTATATACTTTCTGCTTAAGTATTTGAATACAAAGTTTCCACTCTATGCATTTCGTTAAATTGATACTTAATCCTGTATATCTGATTTCTCTGGAATATTTTTCAGGTATAGTAGAAGTATTTTTTCCCCCCAGTTTTAACTTGCATCTATTGTTTCAGGAGAATAATGAGACAGATATTGTAATGACAAATGATGATGTTTTGGGGGATAGTATACCTTTTGACCAGCAAGAGTCGTTTCGGCAGTTCTGTTATCAAATGCTGAAGCTGAATGTAGGGGTAGGCAAATCAAAAACATCTCCTCCTTTTCAATGTTCTGACCCGTTCAACATCATTTCATCTGAAGGCATAGACATGGAGATTGGATGTCCCAGGGTCATTTTAATGCATTTTATTTGCAACTTCATTTATACCCATTGTGAACTTTTTAGCATATTCATATTATTCTAGGATTATTTTTAGAGTTTCAGGTCCATCAAGATATTTCTCACATCTTTAGTGCTTTGGCTGCATTATGTCCCAGTGTCATTTTAATGCATTTTATTTGCAACTTCATTTACACCCATTGTGAACTTTTTAGCATATTCTTCTTTTTTTTTTTTTTTTTTTTTTTTTTTAGCATATTCATATTATTCTAGGATTATTTTTAGTTGTTCAGGTATCAAGATATTTCTCACATCTTTAGTGCTTGGCTGCACCATATTCTGTAAATTACTCATTCAATGTTATTCGTTATCTTCCCATATATCTTTTGTTTTTACTATAAAAGGCTTCAGTTAATTTTTGGCACTGACCTTGTTCCTGCCTGAATTAGACTTGAAGTTCCCAAAATTTGAATCTTATTTAACAGTCTTTTACTGTTGTATAAATAAATCTAACCAAAATTAGTTGCAAAGAAAATCGGGATATGAGATTCTACTTATGTCAAAATATTGGAATGCTATCTAATGAAATCCTTGTTTCTTGTCTCTTATGCTTTAAATATGTTCTTGGATTTCAGGGAAGAGGAAATTCACAATTCCCAGGTTCACACCCTGTTTCTCTTAGCAGGTTAAACTCAGTCTCCTCTTCATTACTAATACTACGGGTTGGTGTTCTCTTTTTCTATACAATCAGTTAAGCATCTTATGTGACTTTGTGTGCTCCTCAACCACGATGACTGTACACCAATTAGTGTTCTTCACTTTGTCGTAGTCGGAACAGAATGTGCTGTAAAATGGGATGGTCTCTTTGTTACTGGTTTGGATGCTGTGCATTTAGGCACACAAGTGTATATTTTTCAGAAGAGAGGATTTAAAATTTAGCTCTTACAGATATACAAGAAACTGTTGTTTTATTGAACACATTAAATGTGATCTTGGATACTAGTAACAAACTAACAATTGATAGTTTAGTTACTAGTGCTTGGTATCACTAGATGAAAAGTTATGCCAGAGAGGAAATTGTTGTTATTATAATGTTATTTGATATATGGATACAATTTATGGATCTGTTGTAATTTCCAGTTCATAAAAGTTTGGATATGGGGTTATTATTCTTCTCACTTACGATTTTGTGGTTTCTCTTATTCATGGTGATTTTAGTTGTGGTATCATCTTTGGTCTTAGGCTTTATAACAAAGTTCAGAACTTGACTCTGATAATGTTATTGGGAAACCTCAGAAAGTGGTTATTTGGGTTATCTAATAATTACTCACATCTGCTAGACTACTTCTAATTACATTCAGTGGTCTATTATAGTAGGGTTCGTTGAGGAGTTCACACTCATTTTCATGTTGTCCACAACCCTTAGGAACTTACAGAGCCATAAAGATTCACTTATTTCTCTCCTTCCAAAATTTTCCTAGAGGATAGCGAAAGCTAAAAACTTTGATGACTTTTACCTTTAGACCAAATTCTTGAACCCCAATAAAAAACAAACATCTTATACTGCAAGGGAAGAACTCTTAAGAGGGTGCGAACATTACTTTCTTATTCTTTATATAAACCCTATGTTACATGGATTTTGGTACATGTGTCAGAAGTGTTGGACTTGTTAAATCCTTAGACAGAAGGGTGTAGAAGCATTGCTAAATATATTTATTGTTTAATTTTTTAATTTTATTTTGTTATGGTAAAATAATGTCTGTATGTAACACAATGTTTAATATAGGCATTTCACTCGTTTTGAGACAAAAATATAACAAAATTAAATTATTGGTTTCGTTATTTTAGGTGCATGTCCAAACGCGGGAAGGGGGGTGGGTTGCCGATACTTAACTTCTGTTTTTTTTTTTTTTTTTTTTTTTTTTGTGATACCCTTAGAAAAATAGTTGGTTTATGTATTGTTTGCTAAATATATGTATTGTTTAATTTATTTTATTTTGTTATGGTAAAATAATGTCCGTATGTAACACAATGTTTAATATAGGTATTTCACTTGTTTTGAGACAATAATATAACAAAATTGAATCATTGGATTCGTTAGTTTAGGTGCATGTCCAACCAGGGGCGGATGGAGGGGTTTTTGGGGGGTGGGGGGGTTTGTTATACCCTTAGAAAAATAGTTGGTCCCCCCAACCCCCCTTCTTTTCTTTCTTCCTTTCCCTTCCCAATTGTTTTCAAAACACTTATTTATTAGCGTAAAATATATAGTGAGGCTGGAAATGAATATTACTTGTAATTTTTAAAATTCATACAAAAATTAACTTGAACTTTTTTAATCTTACTTTTGAAGTCCAATCATGTGAAGCAAAAATGTAAATTCATTATTATGGTAGGTGTAACGGGTGGGTGCTTAGCCATCCGACCCAAAACCCTAAGCTATTAAGTGGGGCTAACACCCAACCCATTTATACCCTTTACATTTCCCATCTGGATCCGATGATGTGGGACAAGTCCCACTTGTAACATTCTCCCCCACCCGAACTCGCAACGCACTCGTTGCAGGTAGGGCCACCCTGCCTACCCGGGTTGGCCACCTGGACGCCCTCTGGGCCGGGCACTTGGCGTGATATAGGATCGAGGACAGGGTTTGGCTCTGATACCAATTGTAATGGTAGGTGCTTGTCCATTTATCCAAAAGCTTAAGCTGTTGGGTAGGGCTGCATACCCACCCATTTATACCCTTTTCACTTTTTATCCGAATCCGATGTAGGACAAATACCCCTTGTAATATTTTCCCCCATCCGAACTCGCAACGCTCTCGTTGCGGTCGGGCCACCCTGCCTACTTGGACGCCTTCCGGGCCGGGCACTTGGCGTGACATCGGATCAAGGATTGTGTCCGACTCTGATACCAACTGTAACGTGCGGGTGCTTCGCGATCCGACCCAAAAGCTTAAGCTATTAGGTGGGGCTAACACCCAAACCATTTATAGCCATTATATTTCTTATCCGAATCCGATGTGGGACAAGCTCCACTTATAACATTCTCCCCCACTTGAACTTGCCACGCCCTCGTTGCGGTTGGGCCACCCTGCTTAACCGGGTTGGCCACCCGAACGCATCCGGGCCGGGCGCTTGGCGTGGCACCGGATCAAGGATTGGATTTGGCTTTGATACCAACTATTACGGGTTGGGTGCTTCTTGATCTAACCTAAAAGCTTAAGCTATTAGGTGGGGCTAACATCCAACCCATTTATACCCATTACATTTACCATCCGGATCCGATGTGGGACAAGTTCCACTTGTAACAGTAGGCCTCTTTCTATAACATATCATTACTACATTTACATTTACAATAATATACACATTTGTATGGCATTGATTAGGCAAAAAAGGAAATTACACTAACGTCCTTTCATGTTTAATAAAAGATACATGAACCTTCATTTTCAGACATTTTTGTTAGATGGTGTTTACTATGAAAAATATTTTAAATTATTTTCTACTCTCCATCTATGAGTCTTTGCAGCATTAGGAGGAAGGGAAATATGTAATTATGATACCAAGATGACAAAAATGCCAATAACAACAATGATATCACATATCCTAATATTTTTAGTTGTCACTTGTTAAATAAAAAATTCTATAACTATTCCTTGTATAAGTTATTAAAGTGCCTCTTTATTTTGTTCTTAAAAATTGTGTTTTATTAAAGCATGCAGGAAATTTTTATTTTTTTTATACGTTAAGGTTGCTGGATTTTGTTTAGTTAAAATGGTACTTTTATTTTCTTATTAATAATCTTTCATCAAGATAATTATATATATATATATATATATATTTCTCAAAGTAGAATCAAAGTACTCAAATTATTTAATTTTTTCACAAATTGAATTTTTAGAAAATCGAAACAAAGGAAAATTAGTTTTTAACAACGGTTTTTCCTCACCATTTGTTATAGTTGACTGATCTACCTTCAGAAAGCCATTCAGCAAGTCTTTGTGCACATAATTGTAGTTTTGGAGGGATTTCCACAAGCCGAAGTAGTTGGATGATTGCATGTTTTCACTGTCCTAATGATCGGCAGACCTATTTTTAGCAAGAATATATTTTCTTAAATGGGAGTCGTCGCTTGAAGTTAGTCTTAGTCCCACCTGCTGGAGGCATGTGATTGATCAGCATGAGTGCTATTGATGATGTAATGTATAAGTTAAGAATCTTCATGTTGCGGTGCTTATTATTTGCTGATGCATCTATCATTCTATCTCCAATTTTGTATTGGAAATTCTGGAAATTGTATTGGATTCGGAAACAGGTAGCAAAAATAATGCTTTAGAGCCTTAGAGAAAACTTACAACTTCTGCACTTTGCTCAGTAATACAAGCTCCTCTTGAGAATTTTAATGACCATGTCATTCATACTTCATTAATCTTGAGCAATTCATATCAAGGATATTCTGTACTTATATGTGAGGTCTTTTTCATCCAACATTCCTCTTTGACTATTATCTCATTTTTTATAACCATAAAATTCATTTTTGTGGCATGCAGCGAAAACTTACAATTGTTAAGGCAACGTTATTATTATGCAACATGGAAAGCTGATGGAACACGATATATGATGTTAATAACTATGGATGGATGTTACCTAATTGATAGGCATTTTAATTTCCGAAGGGTCCAGATGAGATTTCCTTGCAAAAACACTAATGAAGTACGTATGGCTTAAGTTCTACTTCAGGAAGGTTTCTTGTTTTCAGGCTTCATCATCCTGACATAATTGTGTTTTCTTGGAAGGGTTTAGCTGAGAAGACTCACCACTTCACGTTACTTGATGGGGAGATGATAATTGATACTTTGCCCGAATCGCAGAAGCAAGAAAGGAGATACCTGATCTACGATCTTATGGCGTTTAACCAATCTTCTGTCATTGAGGTGAGATATAGAGTAAATTACATGATACTCTTTCCATCATTCTTCTCACTTATGCCGGTACTTGCAGATCATCCATCACACTCCAAAATATTTGTTTTGCACCTAATTTGTTAGTGTCCTGTTCCCACAAGCACACGTAATTTGGTAATGTGCCGTGGAACAATGTAAATATAAGCAGAGCTAGGAATTGTTGAAACAAATCCAATAAAGCCACAAGCCTGTTTTCTGGGAAACAAGTTTCCCAGGATTAGTTGGTTGATATGAGTTGCTTAGGTAGATGGATTTTAATTCTTCCCCTAGCAGCTTCCTCTTTACCATATGTAAACAATGTCTTTGGGTTTGGGTGTGTGTTAGTGAACACTCGATCATAATATTAAAAAGGTCAAATTACACTAAACACCCCTCAACTATCAATTTTTTTTTTTTTTTGCAACATTCACCTTTAAACTATAAAACTCAGCACTGCCAATCCTTTTCACCTTTATACACAAACTCAATTTTTATTTCATACTACCCATCCCTGCTAATCCATTTGTATACTTTTAGACATTATGTATTCACAAACTCAATTTTATCTCATACTGCCCTTCACTGCTATTGCTAATCCATATGTATACTCTTCTAAACAAAGGTTATACATATAAATACACACACACAACGTTTCTAATTTTTATTCAAATATAGATTTGAGAAATTCTTGCAGCTTATACACGTATATATACACATACAATCGATCAAATTTCAAAGGCTCTATTCCTCTGTGAACCAATTTGACCTCTACCCATCTTTCCTCCATGCAAAAAATTTCAACCTCTATTTTTAGTTTCGAACTGCAATTTATGAACCCAAAAACATCGCATTGATATTATTTAAGGTTTTGCATTTGGTGACCCATTAAATTTTCAATCAAGTTGCAAGATGGGTTATGCTTGGCAACCAGCCACCATTCTGATACTGTCGGAACGTGGATCATAGGTACTGTTTACATACGTGTACCTATTGTGAAGATAGGTTGAAGGATAAAATGGTCATTTTAATGGATAAACTTTAACGGCTGTTTTTTTTTTTTGATTAGTTGCAACAATCTGATAGTTCAGGGGTGTTTAGTGCAAACTGCTTCTTATATGATGCATCAGTCTAAGAAGCACGGACACTCCAAAATGGGCGAAGAATCCGTGTCCGACACGTGTCGGACACGGACACGCGTCGGACACGCCCCGACACGTGTCGGACACGCCAAAAAACGTGTCTGGAATTTTTTTATTTTTTTTTTATTTTCGGACACGGCTTGGACACGGCTCGGACACGGCTTGGACAGGGCACAGACACGGCTCGGACAGCTCGGACACGGCTCGGACACGGCTCAGATACGGCTCGGACACGGCTCAGACACGGCTCGGACACACTTTTCTAGATTTTTTTTTAAAATTTTTAATGCTGATATGTTAATTTTTTTTTTTGTACTACCCTAAAGATGGTGATATATATATATACTAACCTAAAGATGCCACAATTCGCCGTGTCCGTGTCCTAAAGATGCTGATATATATATATACTAACATATCAGTGATATATATATATATATATATTCCAACCTAAACATATCAGTGTTTTTTTTTTTAAAATTATTAATGCTGATATATATATATATATATATATACATATATACTATTCGCCGTGTCCGTGTCCTAATTTTTTTGGATTTGCCGTGTCGCTGTGTCCGTGTCGTGTCGTATCCGTGTCCCGTATCTGTGTCCATGCTTCTTAGGCATCAGTGCTCAAATAATTGGTGTTTTATAGATCTTTTCCTTTTATCTGTTGTTGCATTACTTTGACAGTGCACTTGTGCATAAGTATGCTCTGAGTTACTTGTGTATTCAGTTTTGGCACTTATTAGATCGATTACACAAGAGCCTAACATGCAAAACCAGCTAATGAATACTTTGTTTGCTCGTCAATCATCATGGCACCCATTTAAGCCATCTTTGTCAAGTGAGTCTGTACACTGTCGTCCATCGATTAGATCTTTTTTCTGAAGCCTTGTATATGAAATTATATTAACATATTTTTTGTAAAATAACATATTTTATGATGTGATTTTGTGTGGCGTACTTTATTACACAAAATATGTAATAGGTATATGTTTTAGTCAATAATTCAGAGTCGACAGCGTAGAAATTATTTATTTGCATGAAAATCCAAGCTTCAACATGATCATTTATTTAAGATGTGGAGCTTTATGACAATGCACATGAGCTAAATTGGTCAAATGTTAAGCTTTGCATGTTCAGTTTGAAGCCACTTACTTGATAGTTTTGTAATTATGTTGGGTCGTATCATGAAGCTGAATAGGATGACTCTTTTGAAGAAAGGCCTTCTCATGTACATTTTGGACCCTATGCAACTCTGGATAAGAAGAACAATATGAAATTTTGGAGATGTTGCCAACATCAACTGGCACTTGTTGCGAAAAGTACGGTTGTAAAGTAAAATCTTAATAGGGATATAGTAAAAAATCTGGGTCTTCTTTGGATAGAGAAATGAAGGCTTTCTGCTATATTAGGTGGATGAAGGCTTTCCCTTTTGTTGTTGCTTTAACAATTGTTTAGCTTCCTTTATTGGCTAAATTCTATAGGCTGTGGTTGTAATTTTATTTTAAGCAAACACTTCTTTTATGGAAGTAATGGTTTTGAGCATCTTCCAGTTATTTGGTATCATCAAATCAAATGAGTCTTTGACATTTTATATTTCATAATTTTGATTCTCATTATTGGATGTTTTTATTATATGGCTTTCCATATTTTCCTCTTGAAAGTTCTGTCTACTGTTGGCATGATATTGAATATTGATGCAGTGGCCTTTCCATGAACGCTGGAAAATGCTTGAGAGAGAGGTGATTGAACCTCGGAATTATGAACGCCAGAACATATACCAGAGTAGAAATCCTTATTACAGATACGATTTGGAACCATTCAGGGTATGTTTTGAGGACCGCGGAAGATTATTGCAAATATTAAATATTTCAATTTCCTTTCTCTACTGGGTTTGGTTATTGATGAGCTTAAAAAACATCTCAGGTGAGGAGGAAGGATTTTTGGTTGCTGTCCACTGTTACCAAACTCCTGAAGGAATTCATTCCAAGGCTTTCACATGCGGCAGATGGCCTTATTTTTCAGGTGCTCAAGGATCATATACAGTGATATATGAGTTTTAATAAGTAAAAATGAATCTGATTTTGTGGCCTTTGCATCAACTATTCTGTGGAAGTTTGATGTATCTTGTCTAAGAATTATTTAACAATATTTCTCTGCTTCAGACAAATAGTGATTCAAATTCATACAATTGTGTTCTTCAAAACTGGAGTCTAGTTCATTGTTTTGTATAGCAGTGTTTGCTGATGGTCTTTCTTTACCAGGGTTGGGATGATCCTTATGTTCCCAGAACGCATGAAGGCCTCTTAAAATGGAAATACCCTGAAATGAACTCGGTCGACTTTCTCTTTGAGGTTGTTATATCAACTTTATTGTCACAGCTACTGCTTTTTGGATTCAATTTTTTGTTGTATTGGTTTCAAATTTCACTGTCATCACCTTCTTGTTTTGACAGATGAACGACAATCGCCAGCTACTTTTTCTGCATGAACGAGGGAAGAAGAAGCTGATGGAAGGGAATAGGGTTGTATTTACTGGTTAGTGGTTAGTGGATTTCTTTTATTTTATATTTTTTTTTGTCTTGACATCTTGGTAAATGTGTCAATAATATGACATGAATTTTGCATTTTTCCAATGTTGGAATATCTTGAAGTTCCCCAAGTAGTTGGGAAAAAGGTTGATTGTTTTTGGAATATCTTGAAGTTGAAAACTTGATTCTATAAATCCTTTTTTTTGTCCTTAATAATTTGTACAAGTGCAAAATAAATGGTATTGCGTGCCAAATAACAAATAGATCCTAATTACGAGTGTTTTTTTTATTTTTTTTATTTTTATAGTAATGTTAGAACAGTTTATATATATTTTTTACTAGTTGAAACTCACATACCCATTACTGCTATGGGGACTTGAACCCTTGACCTTCTACTCTGTGCATTTGATGTTTCTCTACTTTTTTTATGTACTGATGAATGTTTATAATCATGTAATTCAAAATTGTAAAAGGACTTTTTTTCGTATTATTAGCTGAGCTATTTAATTGTGCCATCTGTTGCTGTACATATTCTATGTTACCATTTTGTTACTATAGAATCCACTAAGGAATTGAGGCTCTGATTCAAGGTTCTCTCTCCATCAATCTGTAAGGTATTTAGTTATTAACACAAGCTTAGTTCAGTATCAGAAGGCATCGGCGCCTCTGGTTTTCTGGAGGATTGACTCTGGAAAGCGCTAGCTGAGACAGGTTTTGCCCAATCAACCCCAGTTAGTTGACAAGGGGTTGGTGCCTTGTTATGGCTATCCTTTCTTATTTTATCTGTTTATTCTATTGTTCTGCAATGTCTGGAGGAGTTAAGATTTAACTTTGATGCATTTGGATTCTTCTAACTATAGAATGTTCTTATTATCTCTCTGTACTTACTGTTTCAAATTAGTTTATGAGATGATGGTAACCCAACTCATGGTTGTGTTTGATCCAAATATGTGGCTATCTCAAACTATTTCTCTTTGCATCTTGATAATTCTAGTTGGGACATTTCATTGTTAATTGTGGTTTATATCAGGTCTCTTGCTTGTCACTACCGTTTGGTTGTTTTTATCTAATCATGCTGGTTTGGCAAAAGAAATTTTGTCTTTTTTTTGCGCCTGCTCATTTTTCTTTTTACAAACTAGCATAATTCAAGACCTGCATGTACAGTTGTCTTTCGATTCTTTTCTCAATAATGAATTTTGTGAAGTATTCCAGAGCTGGATTTATTCTTTGTTTGGTCACTTAGTGTTGGGATTTTGTCTGGTGGCATTGGTAGGCGTCTCAAATGTTGTGGTTATTATGTTTTTTTTTATATATTTTGAACAGATGATTCTGACCCCTCGTCATACTCGGGGAAGATTGTTGAATGTTCATGGGATTCAGAGAGAGATGTTTGGGTCTGCATGCGGATAAGGATTGACAAAGGAACCCCGAATGAGTTCAATACCTACAAGAAGGTGCATATCATTTACCATTTTAATGTAGAATGTTTCTCAAATCAGTTTTAATCTCTCTGACTAAATGAAGGTATTTGCTGATCTAAAAACAGGTGATGCGAAGCATAAAGGATAATATCACTGAGGATATATTGTTGGGTGAGATTCATGAGATTATTCGCCTTCCCATGTATGCTGATAGAATACAGAATGATAGCAAAGCCCACCACCACCATTCAAATTCCGCACGACGTAGGTGAAGGGTGGAGTGGTGACTAAATGAAGTATGATGTCTCCAGTTGAAACTAGTGGCTGGAAAACCTACCATTCCCCACCGAGGTTTGCCCTATGTTACTGGCCCCCCAAAGTAATTATGGAGTTTGTCACTTTTAAGTTGGGTATGTGCATCGGTGTAATAGCAAAAGGGTCACTTTGGGTATGTGCATGGGAGTATTGTGTAACTAGCTACCCTTTGTTATAGCATTGTAACGTGTGCTATGCTGGTCACTTGTATGATCCAGTTGGTACGTGGTAGTTGACATCAGGTATGGGACTTTTTTCTCTCTGATGTTTTTTCAGAGTAGGATCTTTATGTATATTAGCACTATTAATTTTTTATTTTGTTAGTGGAAGTTAGCCATTAGTTTTATAAAACGGTTTTGCATTTTTTCCATGTATATGATCTCATGACAAGTTTATTAAAATTTTCTGATATTTTTCTTCATTTCCTTTAGTCTCTCTCCCCCCTGAACTTAACCACTATCAGAACACAATCTGTAATTTTGCAGCCTGTTGAAATGATATGATGCCAGTTAAGGTTACTCTTGAGGTTATATATTGGTGCCTTTTTTTTTTCACAAGTGATTTACTTGTGTCATAAGCTTGAAAAATTTATGATAAGGACTTGCCCACTATTTAGCCTAAAATGAACAAGGTTTAGTGTTTTAAGACATGGACTTTTGTTGGTCGCAGAAGAAAATTGTGCTAGGTTTGGTGTGTGTATCCTGTGGTTCTCTCAATGTTATGAATAATGTTGCGACTGCGTGCATTGTTATTGTTGTGGTGAGTCATGAGCAAAATTAGTTTTACTTTGCATGTAAACATTAAAATGGTTGATCAGAGATGGTTTCTGCTTTATGGGTCATCTTGAATTGGTATAGCATGGTATGCATTGTTGACATGTTCAATTTTTATGCATTGCATGATGTAGAACTAGTTTAGTCAGTAATGGTGATTCCAGATTCTATCGTGTCTCGGTGAATGATGATGAGTAGTTGCAACTGTGAGGGAAACAGTCCTTTCTAGTGCAATACTTTACGGTCATGATTTCATCATATATTTATGGAATGATAGACGCAATCCTAAGATTCAATTGAGGTAAAGATGTAACGAATGTTGGAAGTTCATGAGATTTCTAATCTATCAGGTGAGTTGTAATCAACTTATCATAAAACTACAATTTTTCTACCATAAACAATATACTCATTACTCTTACCGTCTATAAATTGTAAACAAAAAATTGTGTATATAGTTACTGTCTTTTTGGTAATTTTTATTCATTTAAAAATGCAGGACGACATTAAAATGACAGTTTGGTGCCTTGTTTGTATGCCACGGCACCACAGAAAGATCTAGTTTTTCTTTTTCCCCTGTATTTGTTCATAATTTGGAACTCGAAATGTTTCAGAATCAGTTTTCGGGGAAAAACAAAAATAGTTGTAGAATCATAAATGGGAAATGGGAAAATCTCACCCCTGCATAACATAATAAACATCAGACCCCAAACTCCTATCAAAAGCAAGCTTATGACTATGAATTTTTGCTCATAATCGATTAGGCAGCCTGGAAAGTGCTCTTTTTGGGCTCATTGGGCGACCCTCCCTCAGTTGCATAATAATGTCAAGAAATGACTAGCCATGATTTTGTAGCACTGAATTCAACAGGAGTGTAATTCATCTCTTAAAAGAAACAGCCAAAAAGAAGGAAAAAAAATAAAATAAAATTTTATCTTTTTTGGCTTAGTTGACAGCTATGCTTCCACGGAGGCTTAAATTTTTTACTTTCCTTTGAAAAGTAGGAGCTTTGTATTACTGGGTCACTGGCGGTAATTGAATTTTTTTGGTAGGTAGATTTTTTTTCAATTAACCACATATTTCCATTCTTTAGTATTAAGCATCTATTAGTTACGAGAATTCTAGAAAATCATCCGAACATGGTTGTCAAATGGGGGAAGAGGGATGAGAAGTAACATTCTTTACTTTCATATGCATCCTTTCCAACCTTAGCTCACTAACCTCTCCATTTTAGCATAAAACATAAAAAGGTGTTTTAAAAAAAAAAAGAGAGAAAAAGAAAAAGAAAAAGCCATGACCAACTTTTCCTTTTTCAGTTCCCTCACCTTTGAAAGCCAATTCTACTTATGATTTTCATGCAAATGCAAATATAAAACTGCAGAGAAGAATCCCTTTTTTTTTTTTTTTTTTTTTTTTTTTCAAGATATGTCAGTGATTAATGTAGACATTTATAATAAGCAGTCTAAAGATCTGTTTGGAATACTACATATTTGTCAATCCCTAAGAAGGGTATACCTAGAAATTGTCCTCTTGTATGCTTCTAAATGCCTTTAGTAACATGCCAAATTCCACATTCTTTCTTGGGATTCCTTCACTCTATTCATGTGTATAATCATCCCCATATACTTTATAAAGCTATATAATGTAGAAACATTCCACATGGCCTTCTGAGTATTTCTACTAACCCCATGAACTTGGTTTGATCAGTTGGGACCAAGCCCAAAGGGACCACAAAAATAAATAGGGTTTAGGCCCATCAAACGGCTAGAAATCATTGTTCAGACTATTATCTAGTGAAAAGGGATCAAGAATCTACCCATCAATTCTGGACCACTATGCTACAAAATATGCCAATCTGATGATAACAGTTTGTGTTACATGTAGGAGACATTCCCTGATTTGTTGTCCTGCTATAGAATTTCTCCACACTATACTAGTGAATAAACACATAGTATATACTTATATATCTTTCACATTATTTCAAAGTAGACTATATATATCACTCAAGATGTGAATAAGGTTTTTGTATAGGCATGTTGGGTCCAAAATGAAGGCTTTGTTTACAGTGGGCTATCATTCAATATAGTGTTCTTTATTTAAAAAAATAGCCACTGATTCAATCGTAAAGTGTGTGGTGGGGTAAAGGACTCAATTGAATTGTCCTTTTTGCATTCATTTACTTTTGTAATGATGAGCCTCCCTTTTCCCCTTTTTTTCACCTCTCGGACCTCTATTTGCAATTTGGATACCAATTTAGTTATTTTTTCTTTTCTTTTTATAACCCCAAAACAATTAAAAAATTATTATACTTTGAACCATATTAGAATGAGAATAATTTTATATATGTACTAGTATTGTTGGTGTAATTATGGACAATAATGATCTAAAGCGTGTTATAAGACAACATTATTTGGTATAATGACTTTGGCAAAATTCGTGGAATCTATATATGCGCGTCTTCATCTCCACATTGTTTGATTGCCTAATTTATGTAAACTATTAAAAACTAAGGTAATTTGAACCAAAAATATGATCCAAGTCTCATAGAAAACACTGTTCCTCCTAAAAGTAGGCAATGTGCAAGGTTTTCATGTCTTTAGGACGGTTTGTGTGTGTGTGTGTGTGTTGTGGTGCTGTCTTGAAAATTACACCCATACAATATTAATTCTAACGAGACTAGAACACTCAATCATTCTTTTGAATAGGAGAGCACCAATCAGTTTTAGAATGACATTTTCAATTTTAGAACGACATTTTCATTTGTCGGGTGTGTGCCGTGTGCTTCTCCTCCTCCTTTTTACTAAGGTTTGAACCCGTCCCATCATGTGTAACTTGGTTAATTTGAGTTTTGGCATGGATAGTTTATGGATTGAGAGAGAGATCAGTTTATTAAAGGAAGCGTAACATTTCAGTACCATAGAACAATGTGTTATTTTATAACTGCAATTAATGTGTATTATAAGATTATGATTAGTGTTCAAATTAAAGAAAGGAAGGAAAGGTCATTCTCAGTGAATAAATTAAAGCTTCAACGACAAAACTCTAGTAGCTAGTCTGAGTGCCTGACCATATATAAGAATCTTCAATTCTTCAGACGACAACAAAATAAATGTCTACACAAATCTAGATGCGTCAAAATCTAGCCTTTGCATGCTTATATCAGTACCATTGATCTCGTTTTGTAATGCTCCGACAATAATACAAATAAAATAAATCAGAGATTGGAATTCAGATATGAACCCCTCAAATAATTTGGTGTGGATTTCACAAACGTGGACCTATGTTTATTCCATATGATTAACCAACCTCCATATGAACATTAATCCTCCTTGTACTACAGATTTTAATCTGGATCGCTATGGATTTCTAGGGTTTTTTTTTTTTTTTTTGACAGTGAGTCTAATAACCGAACAAATTTAATTAATTTTCTTCGTAAGTAGAGGCTAATATTATCATGATATCAGAATATTAATGATATCATCATGATGTCAGCCTTCACTCACATAAATCAGTTAAAGTTATCCGATATTTGAACTCCAAAGTATTATTATTATTATTATTATTTTGACAATAAATACACACACAAAAATATTAATTTCCCGCCTTCATGGAATTAGAATGTTCCAGCACTTGCCAACGCCTTCGTAGCCTAGGGGTTGGGTTGCTCTTCGTTGTCTCCGGGAGCCCGATTTCAAACCTTGGTACCTCTAACTTCTAAACTAATGTTCTTACCTTAAAAAAAGAACAAAAAAAAATTATTGTTCAGTCCAATCGTGATAAAGCGTCTGGACATATCCGACTATATTTAAATTTTTTTGAGTGAGCCTCACTCATTTAAATACAATCACACTTTATCATTTTCCCACTGAGTTGTTAACAAAATCAATGATAAGAGTTAAAATATAATCTCATTGCACATATTTCCCAATACCCAATTTCCCAATCACTTGTACCAATCATTTCAAACAAATTTCATTTTACTATGTCTCTGATTTTTCTCTAAATTTTTTTTTTAAAAAAAATTCAAAATATTAAAAAAAAAATAAAATTAAGAAGCACATTTCAGAGGACCATCTTGTCATTCTCTCTAAAATATTCCTAAAGGAGATCGCAAACGATGGCTTTTATCACCTCCCATGACCATCTGGAACATTAAGGTATCATTGTACTGTAAAACTGCCTAAATTTATTCTTCTTCTTTTTTCTTTTTTCTTTTTTTAAAAAAAATTTTTTTTTTTGAAATTATGTGTGTATTGGAGTTGGACTAAAACTCCCAACTGGCCTTGAAATTTGTTACTTGATTACTCATTAATTAGACAAACTTAAATGCGATGAATGGCAAAAAAGAAATAGTTCCAAAACTCCTCATGAGAACACACAATATTGGAACCAATTGATTAAAATTCTAAGTGGGAAATCCTTAAATTATTCATTCATGTTACCTAATGAGACAATTAATATTGTGGGGTTCTCTTTTGTCCTTTATTTTGACACGCCTTCATTAAAATTAAAAGTAGTGTGTGTTTTAGTTGGAAATTAAGATGAAAAAGGCATCAACCCAATGCAATGAAAATGATATTTGTAACGACAATAATATACCCTTACAATGATTGTGAAGGACATGCTAATGTCAAGCCAGTCCTTGGACAAA